ACACGCGGGCCCGGGGGACAGCTGTGGCTTCTCTGCACAGAGCCTGGAGCCTGCTCCAGAGTGGACATCCTCACTGGCTGCCTGGAGGCCAGGAAGCTGCCGTGTCCAGGAGATCCCGGGAAAAGTGTGCAGGACCCACAGCTGGCCACAGGGAGGGGCGGACTGGGGGCCCGTCGGTCCCCTCCCACCCAAACTCACCCTCTCCCCCACGGCCCAGCCTGTGCCAAGGGTCTGCCTGGAGCTGGGGTCGCCCAAACTGCCCCAGACTGCCCTGTCCACCCGCAGCTGTGAAAGAGCCCAGGCTGCCGTCAGCACAAACGCGCTCCCTGGGGGGTCTCATGGGCCCCACGCCCACCCGAGGGGTCATTCGAATCCTGTGTGGGCTGGAGAGATAGCAAGGCGGATGGCACACCGGCCTAGCACACACCAACGGGCTCTATGCCTGGCCACCAGGGGAGGGGGGCGGTCACTGAGGGGCCTCTCTGCAGTGCTGGGCTCCAGGCTTCTCCGCGCCCACGTCAGCCAAGTGACCGCTGGTCCCGTCGGCCAGGCCACTCCACGCCTGCGCTGAGCCCAGGGCCTCTCCACCGGACACTGCGGCCTCCCTGGCCAGGACACACACACTCTTGGCCGCGCTGCCCAGTCGGACACTTGGGCCAGGGCCGTCCGGTGCCAGCTTCCGCCTGGGCCCCAAGGCTGGGGCTGGGCCTGGCTGCGGGCATGGCTGAGCTGGACCCCTTCTGTGCCAGTTGGACCCTGGGAGGTGTGGGGGGGTCCCCATCGCAGGCCACCCCTGGGTCCTTCCTGCCAAGCCCCCTGCAGCCCCGCCTCAGCTCGGGGCTGGACCCCAGCCTGAGTCCCCAGCAGGGTCACCGTCCCCGGGCAGTGGCGGCGGCGGGGGGAGTCCAGGCCCTTTGCTGGCCGCGGGCAGCCCAGGCTGCTGGAACCGCATGAATGCATCCTCGGGGACAGGAAGTTCTCGCCGAGGCCTTGGAGGCGAAACCAGCCCCATCCTGCCCGGCTCCTTTTTTTTTTTTTTGCTTTTTGGGTCACACCCGGCGATGCTCAGGGTTCCTTCTGGCTCCTAGCCATGCTCGGGGGACCAACCCTATGGGATGCTGGGAATCGAACCCGGGTCAGTCCCGCGCAAGACAAACGCCCTCCCCGCTGTGCTATCACTCCCGCCCCTCAACTCACCCTCCCTCCCTGAGATGGAGCTGGCCCTGGGGCATTCGGAGACCCCCAGCCTCGAACCCTGAACAGGCTCCTCCCCCGCAAAGTGCCTTATCCCACAGAGGGTCATGGGGGTCTCTGGCGGCCAAGACTCGGACCACTGGGGCGCCCAGGACCAGCCCCGGCCACTAAGGGACCCCCAGCATGTCACCGTTCCCAGGGACTAAACAGAGACCTTGACCGGCCCTGCCCTCGTGGGGACCCCCCAGAATCTGGAAGGTCAGTGCACCCCCACACACCGGGGGATGGAAGCCAGGCGGGGTGTTAGGGGGCGCCCCCGGGTTGGTTGCAGGGGTGCAGGCTCCCGGGCAGAGTGGGATGGGGGTCTGCAGAGCAACTGGCCTTGGTGACCCCACACGGGGCCAGCCCTGAGCACTGAGCCCGCAGTCAGCTCTGAGCAGTGCCAGGCGGAGACCCAGACAGAACAAGGATAAAGTCGAGACGGGCAACGCCCCTGACTCACCTGCCAGGCCCCGGCAGGGGGAGGGACCGGCAGGGCCCAGCATGGGCTCTGCTACCCCTGGCCATGGGTTGGTGGGCTCTGGCCCCGCCTCGCGCGTAGGAGGGAGCGAGGGTGGGCGGCTGCCTGGCTGGGCGGGAAAACTGAGATTCCCTGCAACCTTACAAGGGGGCATGAGGGTCTCCCCTACGCCCCTGCCCCCGCCTCACACCCTCTCCCTTACATCAGCACCCTGGAGCGCTGTGGGCTCCCAACCATCCCCCAGGCCCACGGCCACCCCAGGCCCCTCCTGGCTCTGAACGTTCTGTGGCACCGCGGGGTGACCCGCCTCCAGCGTCACAGGGCTGCATCTGGGTCCTGGGGGCGCCGTGGGAGATGCGGGTCCTGGGTGTGGGGGTTCTGGGTTCTGGGTGCGGGGAGGGTGGTCTCTGGGTGCAGGCGTCTCCAGGTCCTGGGTGAGGGGGCCTCCGGGTTCCAGGTGCGAGGATCTCCGGGTTTCCAGTGTGGGGGGTCTCTGGGTTCCAGGTGCGCAGGGTCTCTGGGTTCTGGGTGCGGGGGTCTTCAGGTCCCAGGTGTGGTTCTCTCGGTTCGGGGTGAGGGGGGGATTCTCCAGGTCCCGGGTGCAGGGGGGGAGCATCTCCGGGTTCCCAGGTGCGCGGGGTCTCTGGGTTCTGGTGCGGGGTCTTCGGTCCCGGGTGTGGGAGGGGGAGCGTCTCCGGGTTCCCAGTGTGCGGGGAGGTCTCTGGGTTCTAGGTGCACCGGGTCTCCGGATTCCGGTGCGGGAGTCTCCAGGTTTCCAGTGTGGGGGTCTCTGGGTTCCAGGTGCGCGGGGTCTCCGGGCTTCCTTGTGCGGGGCTCTCCGGGTCCCGGGTGCACGGGGTCTCTGAATTCCGAGTGCGGGGGTCTTCGGGTCCCGGGAGCGGATCTCTGGGTTCGGAGGGGGGGCCACTTCTCCAGGTCCCGGGTGCAGGGGGGGAGACGCATCTCCGGGTTCCGGTGCGGGGTCTTCGGGTCCCGGGTGCGGGAGGGAGAGTGTCTCCGGGTTCCCAGTGTGAACCCGGGTCTCTGGGTTCTAGGTGCGCGGAGTCTCTGGGTTCCGGTGCGGGTGTCTCCGGGTTTCCAGTGTGGGGGTCTCTGGATCCTAGGTGTGCAGGGTCTCGGGGTTCCGGTGCGGGGGTCTCCGGGTTTCCAGTGTGGGGGATCTCTGGGTTTTGGTCGCGCGGGGTCTCCGGGTCCCGGGCACGGGGGTCTCTGGGTTCCGAGTGCGCGGGGTCTCCGGGTCCCGGGTGCAGGGGCTCCCTCCACTCCTTCCCTCGTTTCCTGGGACAGGGGCCCGGGAGGAGAATGAGGCGTCACTGGTGAGACCCCTGTTCGCTTCTCCATCCACCTCCCGCAGGGCGCCTGGCGCGGGCACCTTCGGCCCAGGAACACTCGCGTCAGCCTCCGGGTGGGGGCAGGATGCGGACGCAGGACCAACTTGGCTCTGCTCCAGCCCCGCCGCTCCTGTCAGCGGGGTCCCTGCAGCCCCCCAGGCCTGCTCTCCAGAGCCTCAGGGCGGCGTATCCTCCGCATCCCCTACTACCTCAGGCCGCTCCCTTCCCCTGCGCGGGAAGCCCTTGACGGGCCTCCCAAGTCCCCTTTCGTGCCCAGAAAGGCACCCCCGGCCGGGCCCGCGCTCCCTCCTGGCCCTGTGCTCAGGGGACCCCGCGGGGTGCCCGGTTCTGCGAGCCCACCAGCCCTGCAAGGCCGATGCCAGACCCGGTCTGAGCTCCCACCGCACCCCTGCAGGGGATGCAGCCCTGGGGAGTTGGGGGCACAGCCCACTGAGACGGCGGGGGTCCTGGGTCATGCGGAGACCCCTGGGGCTGGGGAAAGGGGGTCTACAGCGGGAGCAGGAGGGTGATGGGGGGCCTGTGGCCTCTCGAGCAGGGTCCGCGGTCACAGGCGGGCACAGCCATTTGGCAGCCTTGCCAGGGCATGGAGGGGACCCCCCGCAGCCCCCCAGGCACTCTGCCTCATTTCCCCTTGAACAAACCCCAGCAGGAGCCGTTGGGGGGGATTCGGAGGGGGGGTGGCATGGGAGGCCGAGAGTTGCACAGGTTCAGCGCCACTCCTGAGCGGGGACAGTCACTCAACAAACAGCCGTGGGCACCTTCGGGGCACCCCACATGTTATAGCTGCCCAGTGGGGGGCAGGAGGGAGCCCAGTTCTCTCTCTTGGGGAGGGTCCGGGGAGGGGGCACCATCTCAGCCGTGGACGTGGCTCCCAGCCGAGCCCAGAGGCGGAGGACCAGGGCCAAAGTGGACGCGGTTGGTGCCAGTCCAGAGAAGGGGTGCCCTGCCGCTCTGGTCTGCTGGGAACCCCTCGGTCCCCCAGGGGGACCCCCCAGCACCCCACCTTCCAACGTGAGTATTGGGGCATGGCACGTGCGGTCCATTGGGTCCTAGAAGACGTTTTGGGACTAAACCCAGATGCCAAGTTTGGTACAGGGTGTGCGCAGACCCCCACCTGCCCACTGCCCGCTCCTTCGCAGGGAGGCCAGTGCCTCCCGGCCGCACCCCTGCCTGGGCTCCCTGGTTTTGGTCCCCTGGACTCCTGTATTGTTTTGGGGGCTCCCCCGCTGACTGTGCTCTGAGCTTACTCCTGGCTCTGGTGGAGGGGTCACTCCGGGTGGGCTTGGGGGACCGCAAAGAGCCCCCTTGAACACCAGGGGCGTGAGGGTGCATGTGGGGAGCTGGGGTACCCGTTATTCTACCTTTGTTGTTGTTTTGGGGCCCCCGGCTTACTCCTGCCGCTGTGCTCAGGGATGACTCCCGATGGGCTCTGGGGACTGGGGGGGGGGGCCCAGGGTCAAACCTAGGTCCCCCGCGGGCAAGGCGAGTTGCGTCAGGGGGCGCCCTGCTCTCGGCCCCCCAGTTCTGCCCGCGCAGGGTGGGGCCTGGGGCCGGGCAGGGCCCACAGGCCGGACTCGGGCTCCGGAGATGGGCGGCCCCGGGCCCCCCCGGGCCCCCCGGTCCCCCGGGTCCCCCGCCCGGCCGGGGCGGGGACTGACTCGGCGCTCGGGCCAGGGGCAGGGGGCGCTGCCGGGCGTTCGGGGACGCCGCTCGCGGGTGGGGGACAGCGCTGTGACTGGCCGGAAAGCGGATCCGGGCGCCGGGCGACACCGCCCACCGCGCAGGCGGGGAGGGCGCCCCGGCCGCGGCGCGCACCCGGCCCTTCCCGCGGGCCCCGGCGCCGCTCGCGCGCGGCTCCGCAGCCCCGAGGCCCCGCGGCCGGGCCGGGCCGGGCCGGGCCGGGCGGGCCGGGCCGGGGGGCGGGGCGGGGCGGGGCCTCGGTCCCTCGGCGGGCGCCGGGCGCGGGGCCGGGCCGGGCTCTGCGGGCGGCGGCGGCGGCGGCGGCGGCGCGGGACCGAGGTGAGCGGCGCGGAGGGGCGCGGGGGGCCCGGGGGCGCGGGGCGGGCTCCGGGGCGCGCGGCCCTGCGGGGAGGGGCGCGTGTGCGCGCGGGGGTGCGGGGGTGCGGGGTTGCGCGCGAGTGTCTGCTGGGGTGCGCGCGGCTGCGGGTGTGTGCGCGCGCGGGGGTGCGCGTGTGTCTGCGCGTGTGTGCGCGCGAGTCTGTGTGTGCGCGCGTGTGTCTGCGGGTACGGGCACGGGTGTGTGTGTGTGCGCGTGTCTGTGCGCGCGCGCGCGTGTGTGTGCACGTGTGTTCTGTGTGTCTGCGGGGATGTGCGGATGTGCGTGCGCACGCGTGTGCTGGTGCGTGCGTGCGTGTGCCTGCAGGTGTGTGCACGCGGGTGTGTGCACGGGTGTTGAGCTGTGTCTGCAGGAGTGTGTGCACGTGCGTGTGCACTTGCTCTCGTGCGTGTGCATGCGTGTGCACATGTGCCTGTGCGTGTGTCACGCTGAGCCCTGGGACATGGGGTGGGGGAGAGCCCCTTGGACGGGGTCCTGCGTCTCCCACCCCTAGACCCTTGGGACCTTCGGAGCACTTCCTGTCGCAGGGTTGCAGGACCGCACTTCCCGCTCCCTGTGGGGGGCGAGGGGAGGCTGTAGACCCTCCCCCTTGATATTGCAGACAGCGATGAGCAGGCAGGGACCCTCTCAGAGCCCCTGCTTGGGCGCCTCCCCGGTGATGCAGGCTGGGCTGGAGCTGGGGTCTGTGTCCAGGGCTGGCAGCCCCCCCCCCACAGCCCCAACCAGGCCTTCGAGCAGTGAGGGGGCTGCACGGGGGCCCAGGTGTGGCCTCAGCGCTGCTGGCCAGGCCACTTCCTGTGGTGGCCTCCCTGTCGGCCGCTCGGTGACACAGGATGCGGCTGCAGCAGAGGGGGGGTCGAGTGGGATGCGTCCCTGTCACTGCTGTGCCTAGCCGGCCAGTGTGGGGCTGAGCCCCTGCCCCAGGAGGTCACTAAGCAGAGGGATAGTCCTGCAGGACAGGCTGGGAAGGCATCCACCTCACCCCGCGGTCCTTCTAGAAGACGGGGTGACCGTCGCAGGGAGAGCGGCCCTGGGGGGTCCTGTCATGAGCCCCTCACCCCAGAGAGCAGAGAAGACCAGTGACTCACGGGCTGGGGGTTTTTGGGTCACACCCAGCGATGCTCAGGGGTTCCTCCTGCCTCTGCACCCAGGAAATACTCCTGGGGGTGCTTGGGGGACCCTAGGGGATGCCGGGGATCGAACCCGGGTCAGCCACGTACACGGCAAATGCCCTCCCCAGGCTAGGGGTTCTGAGTCCGTTATCTAACCTGTGTGCCAGCTGCTTCTGGGGCAGGCCAGGGGGCCAGGGAGGAAGCGGTGGAGGAGTCCAGCCTTGCAGACCTGGCTCTGTGGCTCAGGCTTGTCACCCTGTCACCCTCCGACCCGTCTCAGGCCACAGTGCTCCTGTGGCCGCCCCAGAAGGGCCAGGCACTGCCGCCTGCCCACGCTGGAGCCTTGGGGACCCCAGGACCGCCAAGGCCGCTGCAGAGCCCAGCAGAGACTGCCAGGGCCCGGCCAGGCGGGGCGAGGGAAGGAGAAGGCGGGGACACCTGGGAGACCCCGGGAGTCATTCATTCATCAGTCATTCATTCATTCCCTCACCATCCAGTCCACACGGCCTGCCCGGGTCTTGGCTGCCAGCCAGTGGGTGTCCCAGAGAATCCTGGGAGAGGAGGAACTTCCTGCTGGGCGGGACTGGGGGGGCCCGGGGCTGGGGGCACCTCAGAGGGCGGCGTGCGGGCACCAGGGGACTCCCCCGCAAGGGTCTTGCAACCACACTCCCTCCTCCGTGTCAGCATTGAGTCTGGGGGGCGCCGGGGCATGGAGGGGGCTGGGGTCTGCGTAGGCGCAGAGCTGGGTCTTGGGAGCCCCTGAGTCTGGGCAGCGGCGGGGCTGGTGCCCCCCGATCGCAGGGCTGGAGGGGACGTCAGGGCGGGGGCTGCGTGCAGACCCCCAAGGCCTGGGGCAGGTCGGGCGCTGTCATTCCTGCGTCTCCCGCTGCTGCCTGTCTTTCTGTCCGTCTGTCTGTCCGGCGGGAATGGGTCATTGTAGCCGGGCCGCCGGGCCCGCGGGGAGGTGGACCCCAGCCCGGGGTCTCCTCTGGCTGAGCGAGGGGGACACACAGGCGGGAGGTCATTGAGCACAAGGATTGCTCCCTGGATCCCTCCGGAGAGTTCTAGAAAGTGCGCAGGGAGAGGCTGGGCCACAGGACAGCGGGGAGGACGCTTGCTCTGCGCATGTGACCGGACGGGGCCCTTGACATGCCCACGTGACCCCCGAGCCCCCCAGGAGTGCTCCCCGAGCACAGAGCCAGGAGCAAGCCCTGAGCACTGCTGGGTGTGGTCCCCAGACAAACAACACTAGGGGCCCTGCTGGCGGAGAGTCCCCCCCAGTGCCGTGTCCCCAGCTCCTGGAAGAGGGGCCCGGGAGACCCCTCGCTCCCCGATCTCTGCTGTCCCCCCCCCCCCGCTTGAGAAAGTCTCAGGGACGGGCCTGCTTAAGGTTGCCCAGCAGGGAGAGAGCCGGGAAGACTTCCTGGAGGAGGAGCAGTGGCCCTGGGCAAGGGTCTGGGCCCAGGGAGGACAGAGGAGGTGGGAGCTGTCCTGAGGCGGGGCTGAGCTCAGCCTCCAGCACCCAGCACCCAGCACCCAGCACCCGGGCCCGCCTCACCCGTCCCGTCCACACGGCTTGCTCCCTCACCCATCCCAGAGCCCAGTACCCAGCTCTCAGCACCCAGTACCCAGTATCCAGAGCCCAGTTCCCAGGACCCAGTGTCTAGCACTCAGTACTCAGCATCCAGTGCCCAGCACTCAGTGCCAATTACCCAGATCTTAGTACCCAGCACCCAATATCCAGTGCCCAGTAGTACCCAGTGCCTATCACCCAGATCTTAGTACCCAGCACCCAGCACCCAATACCCAGTACCCAGTGCCTATCACCTAGTGCCCACTACGCAGCACCCAGTACCCAGCGTCTAGCACCCAGCACTCAGTACCAAGCACCCAGATCTTAGTACCCAGCACCCAATACCCAATGGTCAGTACCCAGCGCCCAGCACCCAGTACCCAGCCTGGGTGAACCAGCGTGCGATGAGGCCCTGGGGTTTGGGTGCACTGAGTGTGAGGCAAAGGCAGGACTGGGCCCCCTGAGGCCACTCCCGTAAAGGAGGATGCAGTGTGGAATCCTTGTGAACGTGATGGTGATGGAATATCCATCGGCCCCACCCGCAGTGCCACTGAGTCACAGAGGTGCTCAGGGCCCACCGGAGGCCAGTGACCAGCGGCCAGCGCCGTCTGCCCTGAGAGCCAGAGCTCCAGCACCTGCAGGTCTTGGCTGAGGTCACCCTGTGCCCGCCTCCAGAGTCTCCCTGGCACCCGCCCTCCCCCACAGGGCAGGAGGGCTGGGCTCTGCCCCGGCGGTCCGTCTGTCTGTCTGTCCATCTGGAGCCCAGGGGGCTGCACTCCCGTTTGTGCTTCTGTTGTGCGGGAGCAGATGGTGCTGGCTAGTGCCCGCGGGAGGCCGGGCACCCGTCCTTTGTTCCTTCATTCATAAAACCCATCCCGGGTGCTGGCCCAGGGCCAAGTGCCCCCCACCCCGGTGGGGACACACAGACCGTGGGCCCCAGGGCTGCTCCCTGCGTGCTGTGTGGCCCCCGCAGGCAGCTCCGGGTCTCTGGGCCTCGGCCACAGCTGGGAATCGGGGACAGGCTCTACCTCTCAGTGTGGTCACCCCCCTGTCCTTTCTCTGTCTCCTCCTCATGTGGGCCCAGAGGGCACTGACGGGCCTCCACGGTGCTCAGGCCTTGCTGAGGGCTCCCTCGGGTGGGTTCTCCCACGAGAAATTCCTGCCTCTCTCCCTCCTCTGCCTGGAATCCCTTTGCTCTGTCTTGCCCTGGGCTGAGTGCTGGAAGGTGCCTGCCTCCTCCAGGAAGCCTTCCAAGCTGCCTCGTGCCCCCCCCCCCGCCCCCCCACCTCCCACCCCAGGCCCTGCAGGCCAACCTCCTGGGGTCTTTGCTCACATCTCAGAAATAACACTTGGCAGTCGGTGCTAGAAAGATCTCTGGACAGCTCCCTCCTGTCTGTCCCTGCTCCAGTGCTATGAGGATAGCGGCTCTAGGCCTGGTCCACCTCTGGGTGCCGGGGTTCAGCCCAGGGAGACACAGAGCAGAGCCCCCCCGTCCCCGACAGGGTTTTTTGGGGTGCTCCTGGCCTTCCCCAGGTCTCTGCAGACGGTGGCCACAGAAAGCTTCAGCTGGACCCAGAGAACAGGATTTCTGGGGTCTCACAGGGTGGGGGTGCAGAGCCTGGGGTCAAGAGGGGTCCACCTAGCTGGGCTCCTTCCGGGCACTGAGTGATGCGGGGCTGCCCCTGCCCTCAGCCTCCCCTCCATCTGCTCTGTGCTCACAGCAGTGGCCAGCGAGTGGACAGACGCTGAGACTCACCCGAAGGCCTGGGGGACGCCGTGGGCTCCAGGGGCTTCTGTCCTTTTTCCCGTGTTCTTGATTTTAATTTTTTTTGATTTTATAAAGTGGCTCACAATATTTGATTGCATTTAATATTCAAACGCCATTCCCACCACCCTGACATCTTCCCACCACCGTATTTTGGATGTTTCCATCCCAAACCCCAACTCCTGCCCCAAAACAGAGCTGAAATAATTTATTTTGTATTGTTGGTCAGCCATGATGGGTCTCATTCCCCTGACCCTGGAAGAGCCTCGAATGTGGCACTTTCTAAAATCTCAGGGCTAGGACGGAGGAGACGTTACTGGGGACTTGCTCGAGGCAATCGATGAACAACAGGATGACAGTGATACAGTGATTGTCTGTTGTGGAAAACCGCGGAAAATGCTCAAAATAAGTTTCCTTAGAGGAAAGAGTATTTTTCACCCAGGAGCCATTAAGCCCTTCTATAAGAGATCGCTAACATGTTAAAGGTTGAGC